AAAAAAGTCATTGTTGATTGTTAGGATCTATTTATAAGAGCTGAATGTTATATTTTTACCTTTTTTGTTTTGGTAAATCTTTGTCTGCCTTCAACTATTCGAGCATTTCAATACAATTAGACGGCTCCGGATTTTACTATTTTTGTCATTCTGAAGTTACTAGTTGTATTTTTCTATGAATGTGGCTATGCTTGTTTAATGGAAAATGTGCTTGCCATTTGGTTTTGCTGCATTGATCAGTTATTCAAGGTGAATGGTGATACACGTTATGCGGTTTTATTGATCTTGATATGTTGCCCGAATTTAGCCTTTGTTTGTTCCAACTTCTTTTCCCATTAAAAGAAAAAATGGGATCCTTTTTTTCAAAGTTGGTGGGTTCCAACAAGACACAAATGGTTAAAAATGGTAGGCAGGGTCATTGTTCCAACTGTTCTTTTTCTTCTACTAATGAGCAACAAACAAAGGTTTAGTTTTAGAAAACATGAAAGAAACTCTTATTGCCCAATTTTTAGGTTGTGTGTATGTGTCGACCCTTTAGTGGCTTGTAAATGAGTTTTCTTTGTTTTTAGAGAAATAAAGTTGGGACGATTTCATTAATCTTGTTTTTGTGCCTTTAATATATCCATGTGTTTACTATTAACGTAATAGGGATCGATTGATTGAGATGAGAAACTTCGGTGTTATCACAAGTCATAGCTGAAATCTTCGACCGGGGTAGTGGTGGTTGAAGTAGTGGTGAGGGGGCATGGTTGTGTTTGGGAAGATGAAGAAGTTTACGTTTTTTAATTATTTAAATTGATTTTAATTGTGAAAATGTAGAAAGTTCATTTTATCCATCTCAAAAAGATTTAAAAAAAAAAAAATAGTCAAAACTTCGAATTAACGAATTTTTGGACTAAAGTCGTCCAACTTATTTATCCAAAGGTTAGGGTTTGATGGGATCACAATTTTTAAATTACGCATTTTATCAAACATAGGTTAAATAAAAGGCCAATTTCGGTGATTACTTAGAAACAAAATAAAATTTGGTGATATTAAAGAATCAGAATTTCTTTTTCTCAGTCATATTTTATTTTGGTCATTATTGCCTATCAAATATGCTATACATACGTTTAGTGAAGACTTGATCTTAATTTAGCAATATTAATTAAAAAAATCCTGTCATCAACGAATACAAAAATAATAGGAAAAATTGCACTAACGGTCCCAAACCTTTGAAAAATTAGCACTTGCGGTCCAAATTGATAGTTGACTAAAAAAAAGTCTTTTGACCAAATCTAAAGAGGGCAAAATAGTAAATTCGTCATTATTCCACATAAAATAATTAAAACCAAAAAAAATTTAAAATTAAAAGGAACATAGAACTGTTCTTCTTCCTCAAAACCAAATCAATCGGCACCGTGGCTGCCTTCTTCCACATCCACTACCACTCATCGTTGTCGTCAGTTTCCACGGGCATTTCGTTGTGAAAGAGTTTGCTGGTTGCTATAGCCATTATAACCACCAAAAATGCAGTCGGAATTAAGCACATAAGCACCACTGTCGGCAGCTTCAATGGCACCCCGTAAGGCCTTTTCATTGTGGGGAATTTTCTTCTCAGCTAAAGAAAAGATGCAAATTCCAATAGCATACCCAAACTATACAAGAAATCTGCAGAAGATATGATATCTATGTAACTCATATAAGAAACACCCAATGCAACGACTATTGATAACAATATTCCCACCCATGGAGTATTGAACCATATTGACCGACACGAGAAAAACTTGGGTAAAAAGGCTAAATCTGCCATGCCCAGAAGCTGATATGCACTGCTACTTAATTGTGCTTCAAATATTCCAATTGAATCTGATTCCCTTTTGTCAAAAAAATTCCCTTCAATACTTGGTTTTGGGACAAGCCTGTTGCCGTTTAGGCTTAATAGAGGGCGCAATGGAGCTCTCCAGCTACCGCCACATTCTAAGAGTTGGATTGTGTTGGGTTGGGGGGATGGGATTTGGGGTATGGTTGGGGTGGCGTGGCGTGGAGTAGGTTGAGGAAGATGAACAGTTCTATTTTCCTTTTATTTTTTAATTATTTTATGTGGAATAATGACGAATTAACCATTTTGTCCTCTTTTGATTTGGTCAAAAGACATGTTTTCAGTCAACTAACGGTGACCAGAGTGCTAATTTTTCAAAGATGTGGGATCTCTAGTGGTACAAGGTCGATGTAAAGTTTGCTAAAACCTCGAAAGTTTGGGACAGCTGCTGTAATTTTCCCAAAATAATATCGAAATTAATTTTTTTAATTCCATTAATAATAAATTTGAATTTTATTTTAATAATTCCAAAAATGTTGTGTTTTTTCTATAAAGTCTCCGACAGAAAAGGATTCGATGCAACCAACTGAGAAGTAAAGCGCACACACGTGTGTCTGTTGCAATATTTTCGCGCTTCTGACTAAATTCCGAAACTACCCCTCCGTGTACACTTTTCTCTCGACGTTTATAAAAACATGGCAATTCACTCTCAGAATTCTTCACAGATCAAAGAAAATAAAAAATGTCTGACGGAAAGGAGAGAGAGAATCATGTTTACATGGCCAAGCTCGCCGAACAAGCTGAGCGTTATGATGGTATGTATTTCTGTATGTATACACAGATCAATTGTTCATACATCATACATGCATGCATTTTTTTCCTGCAAATTGGAGTTTGAATCGTGTAGATCAGCCTGTTTTCTGATTCTTCAATGGATCAGTGTGTGTCCTGTGTGTTTTTATGTCTGGTTTACAGCATTTGATGGCATTGATCTGTGTATGGATCAAGATGTATGAATCTGTTGAAATGATTTAAGTAAAAAATTGAAAATATGAAGAAAGATTCATTTTCCAGATTTGGTTGAGATTTTATGGGATAAATGCAACTCATGTCATCACAAAATGTACCTTCTGAATTTAACATGGATAACAAATTGTTTCAGAAATGGTTGAAAGTATGAAAATGGTTGCAAAACTAGATGTTGAACTATCAGTCGAGGAAAGGAATCTGCTCTCTGTTGGGTACAAGAATGTGATCGGTGCACGAAGAGCTTCTTGGCGTATCATGTCTTCCATTGAGCAAAAGGAAGAGTCAAAAGGAAATGAGAACAATGTTAAGCTGATTAAGGGTTATCGCCAGAAAGTCGAAGAGGAATTATCCAAGATTTGCTATGATATTTTGTCCATCATTGACAAGCATCTAGTTCCCTCTTCTGGTTCAGGAGAAGCTACTGTTTTCTATTACAAGATGTGAGTAGATCATGTTGTTCTTATTGCTTTACCTCTCGATGATCTTGAATCAGATCAATGTCATTTGTTTACCCATTATGTTCGAAATCATAAAGCATCACCTCCAAAATTTGTTGGAAATATAGCTTAGTTTGTTGTTGTTTTACGTCGATTGAATATCAACTTTTTCCAAATTCTTTCCCGGTTGATTATGGATTATTCCAGGAAAGGTGACTATTTCCGCTACCTTGCTGAGTTTAAGACTGATCAAGAAAGAAAAGAGGCAGCTGATCTATCACTCAAGGGCTACGAGGCATGTTAATTACTCTCAATATATGGCATGTTTGGTAAGGTAGACTAGACGACATTAATGAAGGAAAAAAAATCAAAATATCGTTCATTGTGCAGTAATGTCTTGTCCTATCAATACCAAACACGCTGATAGTACATTCATATAGACAAACAACAAACCAAGCAAGCCATTATGTTTCTGGTGTATAAATTTGTTGTCATTTTCTGTAGTCTGCATCAGCCACTGCTAATACAGATCTACCTTCAACCCACCCTATCCGTCTTGGTCTCGCTTTGAACTTCTCCGTGTTCTACTACGAGATTATGAATTCTCCTGAGCGGTAAATAGTCTTCCATTATCTCTCAATTTCTTTCAAGAATCTGTTCATGTAAATTGTACATTGGTATATGCAGGGCTTGTCATTTGGCTAAACAAGCTTTTGATGAGGCAATTGCTGAGTTGGATACTTTGAGTGAAGAGTCTTATAAAGACAGTACCTTAATTATGCAGCTGTTAAGAGACAACCTCACTCTCTGGACCTCTGATTTGCCTGAAGATGGAGGTAAATTGTCATTTTATTTTTATTTTCACGTGTTCGTCCCGGTGGCAACGTATAATCATTCCTTCATTTACATCTTCTACACCACCCTCTGCAGGTGAGGAGACTGTCAAAGCTGAGCCTGAGAGTGAAGAACCTATCACAGCACAATCTATGGTGAAATTCTCTTCTTTATTCTTTTCATCCGTGTCGAAACAGTCTTCTTCGATAACTAAAATCGTGTTTTGTCTTGCAGAGTTGATTGTGATCATCAAGAACAACAATACCATGAAGCAATTTGTGTTAGCCACATTCTCCCTCAAAGGGTTTACATTTCCAGTTTCTGATCAAATCAGAGCAGCATGTCTGTAGGCAATTTGTCATGGTTTTTCTTTTCTTGATGTTCACTTGCATTCTGTTTTTAGTTTTGTTTCATTATTGCTAAAAATTTTGCTTTTCGAATGTATGTTTCTTTTAAATATGAAGCTTATTGGTACACGACAATTTTATTTCAATTAATTGTTACTTCCATTACATATGCTTGGAGAATTAATTACAAGGATATGCCACAAAGAAATTGTAAGAGGAGACAATTGAAATTATTTACTTTTTCTACTTGCAGCAGAAATAAAGTACTTATTTTCTGAGGAAAATTAGAAATTCGAAGAGTCCCCAATGATACCTCTTTTCTCCCAAATGATCCGACCAACTAAAATCATCAAAATTTTCACAACCTTCCGTCCTCGCCATATCCACCTTCAGACTTTTACAACCGCCGCCGCCAGCGTTTCTACGGCCGCCGCCGCCAGCCATCCATCCCTTGCCCAACCCATAACACCGGTGAATCAAGCCCACCTCCTCAGAGTCTGCACAATCCTCTATCAACAGCAAAACTCCCCCGAGCCGAAACTCCACAATAGCCTCACAAAAACCCCTTTCAATCTCACCCACGAGTTTTTCCTCCGAGTCTGCAACAATTTTCAGTATTCATGGCGACCCATTTACAGATTCCATCTATTCTCCGTTACACAACCCCATTTCACCCACACCTCCACCACCTTCAACAAGATGCTTGATGTGGTAGGTAAATCAAGAAACATTGATCTTTTCTGGGACTTATGTCAAGAAATTGGAAAACTCCATTTGCTTAATATTAAGACATATATTATTGCATTAAGAACGCTGGCTGCTGCTAGAGAGTTGAAGAAATGTGTTGAATTCTTCCATTTAATGAATGGGTTTGGGTATGAGTATAGAGTTGAGGTTTTGAATAAGGTAGTGGAGTTTTTGTGTAAAAACAAGCTTGTTGTGGAGGCCAAGCATGTAGTTGTGAAGTTGAAAGATTGTGTTAAACCTGATGGAGAGACTTATAGGTGGTTAATATATGGGTTTTGTGATGTAGGGGACTTGATTGAGGCCTCTAAGGTGTGGAATTTGATGGTGGATGAAGGGTTCGAACCGGGTATTAATGCGGTCGACGCCATCTTAGAGGGTCTTTTCAAGAATAACAGATTTGATGAGGGGTTGAAGCTTTTTCAGTCAATGAGAGTGAAGAGGATGGAAAATTTAGGGCTATCAACATATCGGGTTGTGATCAATTGGTTGTGTAAAAAAGGTAAGCTTGGGGAGGCTCATATGATGTTCGACGAAATGCAAATGAGAGGTATCAACGCCGACAATGAAACATTGGGGTCGATAATTTATGGACTTATGAGCAAAGGAAGAGTTAGGGAGGCTTATAACATTGTGGAAAGGATTGAAAAGCCTGATATAAATGTATATCATGGGATGATCAAGGGACTTCTAAGGTTGAAAAGGCGTAGGGAAGCAACACAATTGTTTAGGGAGATGATAAAACGAGGGTGCGAGCCGACAATGCATACATATATAATGTTGTTGCAGGGCCATTTGGGAAGGAGAGGGAGGAAAGGGGAGGATCCATTGGTTAATTTTGACACCATTTTTGTTGGAGGTTTGATTAAGGCAGGGAAGTCATTGGAAGCAACAAAATATGTGGAGAGAGTGATGGATAGAGGACTTGAGGTGCCAAGATTTGATTACAATAGGTTTTTACATTATTTTTCGAATGAGGAAGGCGCGATTATGTTTGAAGTGATGGCTGAGAAATTGAGAGAGGTCGGTTTGTTTGATTTAGCAGATATATTCGCAAGGTATGGGGAGAAAATGGCAACTAGAGAACGGAGGAGAAACAGAACTCTCGAGCCACAAGAGTTTGTACAAACTTGATTTGTAATGAGATAGAGGTGTAAAGATGGGTTGGACCGTCCATTCGTGTAGTTTATGCGGGCTGGCCAGCTCGGACCTTGTTTTCTTGATGACTGGCCTCTACCTGCAGCCGGAAATGGCAGCCATTCTTGGTTGATGGCAAGACAATTTATACAGTGTCGATTTTAAGTTCATTTTGAGAAGCACCTATACTGATATGCATTGGAAGGAGATGAGATTGTATAAACTGTGTTTAGTATGTTGGATTTGACAATATTAGACGGAATTTCTTTTCTTGAATATGAAACTAAATATAGGGGTAAAACTTGTTCAGTTAAATAAATGGGTGTGCATTGAACTTTTAGCAAAATATGATCCGAGTCACTAAACTTCATTTTGATCTCGTTCACTTAATTTAGGGTGTGTTTGAACCCCATTTTCAGAGAAAATAGTTTGCTAACTAGAATTTTACATGAGCTTTTTCACAAGTCAAATTAACGAACATGAACGAAATGAATAAATTGTAATAAATGTTTAAGTTCAACGACCAAATAATATTCGGGTTCAATGATTATTTTGTTTCAAAAAGAAATGTTTAGATCAACATCGCTAAAAGTTTAGTGATCATTAGTGTGTTTAATCCAAGGTTTTGGAACGTAACGATTTTATAGCTCGGTTGATGGAGGAAGCAAGATGGTTCAATCACGTTTAGCAAAGTCGATGGAAAGAGACGGCTAAGAATAAATTGTGGAGGCGATGAGGACTTAGGTCGCGAAGATATATGAAAGTTCGTTAAAGAAGATTTACATTTAGTAGAGTGCTATAATTTCACTAGAAGAAGTCGCAATTATCAAGTTCTTTTAAATCTTCCAACGTACATTACTGTAAAAAGAAGCGAATGAAAATACAAGATTCACGCAACAAATTTTATGTTTATTGAGAATAAAATTTAATTTATTATCTGGAGAAAAATTAAAATGATTATGTAGAATGTAAATGGTCTTATGGAATACATAAATTTTGATGGAATTCTTGATTGGTGTCTATTAAAACTACCCCTTATTTTTGCTGGACCACAAGCAAAAGTTATAAATCCACCGCACAAACTTGGAGGTGTAAACAAGGTGTATTATTGAAATTTGAGGCGACCCCCCATTGAATAAAAGACGTACTGTAAGTTAGTCCACTTGAAAATTCAAGCAACGTCAATACCTAAGTATTTAGGACTACGGATGTTTGGAACAATTTTCAATGGCCCGGACGGAAAAGTAGACGAAGTTTGACAAAATTACGTTGAATTTTAAGATGAAAAGACTAGATTACAACGCACGTGATGTCGCTGTTCTTAAGACGATATTTGCTCTCAGGATAGTGATGAAGCAAAAACGCTTCCAAGATACAACGTGATATGAATGTTGTTTGCATCATTAACTAATGAAAACAATCCAAACACTAATTAAGGAGAATAAAAGTTAAACTCTAGAAGTTTAGGGGTTGTTCTCTTTGTATTTCAATTTTGTGTTTTGAGTATTCATTTTGATATTATTGAAAATGTGTTCTTTTTACCATTTTGAAAAATTGTTTTGAAAACACCCAAAATGCGTTTTGAAATTTTTGACTTGATTATAAATGAAAACATTCAAAACGACAAATTTTCTTTGGGTTTTCTTTGTAAATTTTTAACTTATTTTTAAAAACGCGTTTTCACTATTTTGGAAAATCAAAAACAGAAAACGGTTTGAAAATGGTAAAGAGAACAGACCCTTGTATTCTGTATTTTTGGGATTTACAAAAAAAAAAAAAAGCCTTTTAAATACGTATGATGCAAGCATGTAGGAGAAAGATTTTAAGGAAGAAGACAAATAGAGAATTATTCTTTTCATGCCATCATGGATCAAATAAATCTTAAATCCTTTTATAGATCCTATTACACCTCTTCCAACAAGGTGCAATTGTTCAAAGACACCTTTTGGACATGAAAACACAGCAAAATAACATAATACTCAACTTCTAATGGTTAAAACCGAAATTAAGACGAAGAGACACCATGGTGTCTATCCAGGTAATGTGCGCGGGAACGTTGGACTTTCAAAATGTTGCAACCCCCATCCTATTTTGCATGATGTCCCTTTTGCTCTCTTTGAGAATTCTTCAACAATCCTCCACCATTTTTAAATGAACGAAGTACATCTTGTAAAGGTTTCACCAAACTTATACATAAATGAATGTGTATTATGGACTTGAACCTGTGATGGATAAACTTTGAACCATCGACCATGTATGGTTAATCAGAAACACTTCATGTGCATGTTTGCATATCCTCATGTGTTCAAATATCTACATGTGAATAGGATATATGTTCTTTATCCTAATTTTCATAAAAGTTTTAACTAGTCAAAGCCACCTAGAGATGGCACCGTTCTAACTTTCACATAGATCGTCTCATGTGACTAAAGTATTCCATAGATATGTCTATATAAAATTATCGTCGAGAGACTTTTTAAATATAAAATACTCTCCATTTTAAAGGGATCAACCACTAATTATGTTTCAAAATACTCTTTAAATTAATATTTTAATTTAGAGAGTGAGCATGCATTCAATGTACTTCAATTTTCAATGAAAAAAATTATACTCCCTCCGTCCCAATTATATAGCCTGTGTTTCCTTTTTCTCTTGTCCCAAATATATATACATGTTTTCTAATGTAGAATATTTTGTTGTGTTCCTTTACCAATATACCTTTATTAAATTTTCCCCACTTAATATGTCAATTTCTTGAAATCATCCAAATACACACATTTCCAATTTCTTGAAAA